CGGGGGGGGGGGGGGACGCGGGGAGCCGGAATCCTAAATGTGAGTTGAGGAGAAAGAAAAGGGGTGAAGCTGGCTAAGGGTCCCACACTATGGGCCAAGTGGTGGAGCAAGGAGTAGCAGATGGGTTCCATCCTCTCCCTGTAACTGAATCTGGCAGAAAAGTGGGTGTGGACCTGCTGCTTTTTCTCCGTTAAGACAATGAGAGACTCCCCAGCCAGCCAGCCAGCCAGCCAACTCGTGCTCTCAGCCTCCCCTGCTAAGCTGGTGTCAGCCAGAAGTGAGGGAACAGATTCAGAGAGAAGAGTGAGTTCCAGGACCTCTCTCCTTGAAGGGTGGGAAGTGGGCGATGGCTGCTAAAAGATTGCTGTGGGAGGCAGGGCTTTAGACATTTTGGCTAGCCTTGGGAACTGGCCAATCGTTGGTGATCGCCAGGACACTTCCCTCCCTCAAGGGGTGGGGTTTTGTCCCTGGCTTCCCTTGGCCTCAAGCGAGGGCCTGTCCTTTGGAGATGCCTGGGGCCCCTTGAGGGCGCTGTGTAGAAGAGACCTGCCTCATTCCTCCTCTCAGCCATTGAACTGAAGGCGGGTGGAGCCTCATCCTAGAAACGGGATTCAGAAGCCTTTTGGAATACAAATCCAGCTTGCTGCAACAGTGACCTTTTGCCCACCCCACTCCCAGGCCTGGAGCTCTCAGCCTTGCCCAAAAGGGTGGGCTGTACTGGGCGGAGTTGTGGACCCTTGACTAGAGGGAGTCCTTCCCAGCCCTGGCAGGGAACAGGAAGCTGCCTGCCAGTGGGGCCAGGGTGCAGGTTTTTACATTCCTTATTTCTAGAACTTTGTATTTCTGGCATTCGCAGTAAATATCCATTCCGGTCTTCTCATAAGCTACAGTACAGTGATACTTTTTTCCCAAGTGTTTATTCTCTGAATTGCTTTTCAGTGCCTCTGTTCAACCTTGAAACACATGGAAATATTTAATCTCTCTCTCTCTCTCTCTCTCTCACTCACACACACACACACACACACACACACAC